GAGGTTTTCTGAGGCACAGTCACATGTTAAACAACCGGAAGTGTTTCCATCTCCTTTTTTTGAGATCAGCATGTTAGAATGAGAACTTATTTGATTTGCTTAACACTTAATATGATATTTAATGCTTTTGTTAAACTTAAGGGAATATAACATGTTTATTGTACCTCCCTCACAATGAATACCTTGTTGGGGCCTTATGCTTGATTGCCTCCCTCACAATAGATCACTGTGAATTTTATTGCCTTCCTATCAGCTTTAGGTTGTTACCATTATTTGCTAATCTTCTTGCCTGTCACCAGACCTCTAGCTGCTGTGCCAGGGAACGTTTTAATAAAAAGAAACACTTGTTTGTCACTCACCCAGGATGTGTTTCTCACATTTATACCATTTATCATAGTCATTACCCAAAGGCAACAGTTTAGACAACAGAGCAGTGCTTTTCTCCTCCTGAAAGGACTTAAAGTGGCAAAAAAAAAAAAAAATCTAATGAAAATAGACATATCATGTGGATTACAGACTTAGTTTTTCATAGGAAAGGTATTATGTGTTCTGGTGCTTTATGAATCATTACCCTGCAAGTCAAAGCTCACATTGGACAACTTCATCAAACTGCACAACACTTGTTAATCGTTTCCTATACAGAACCAGATTCCTTTAAATGTGATTAGTTACATGATCACAGAACAGGACACTTTCAGAAGTCTATTTTAATTACAGAAGATGCTAACACTAGCACACTCACCTAAATAATTAAAGTTCATTGTTCTTGTAAATAAATAAATGAAATAAAATGGTTCATTTATTTATGTATTTCAATCTCACTCTGGTATAGCATTCAGTATTTAGTGCAAGAGGCCATCAGACTACTCATGAACATGAATCATTATTTTAAAGAATGTAAAAAATGAAAGAGGAAATTCCAATGGAATAGCAGCACAATAAGAATGAAGTGATGGTGTTAAGGTGGTAAGATAGAAAAAAGTTCTCATGTGGGATTCTGAGTGCAGTGAGCATGAGGTTAATTTATATTCTTTCTATTTTAGGTTCATATATTCATTGAACTACAACAAACAACACAACCTGAAATAATGGGCTAAAGTCATTAGTTTGGAACACTAAGTATTTGCCATGTTTTGCTGACATCCCTGCTTGGCCAGTTAGAATGCTCATTACCCACAGCTTTCAGGAAACTGGGTGCCCTTGCACCCTAGAGATCAACGTGTTGCCATAGTAATGGTAGAAATGCATGTCTGCCTCACAACAGGGGAGATGGGAAAAGAAGAGTCCGGCATTTCATCCCAGCATTAGCATATTAGCCCCTTAGAGCCAATGAGACGAGGCAAGGTACGGGAATACTCCAAGGGGACTGGCTGTGACAATAGCCCTCCTCCTTCTCTGTACACTCTGCCACCCCCTCTCAGGGGTAAAACCCCCATAATCCTGAAGGAAATCTCCCCTCTGTTCAAACCAACTCTGCTGGGAGAGCTCAGTTTTAGTTATGGTCATTCTGTGGTGGATATTATGTATTTGTGGAAAGTGTGTTTGGAGGTAGTGGATCACTGTTGGAGCTGTGTAATGATGCTCAGACCTCGGCGGCCTGCATGTCTCTTTATTTTGGCCCGTCTTTGAAGTGTCTGTGGAATGTGGTGCCTGACCAGCACACGGATACAACTGGTCACACTTCCAAACTGAACTCCAGTCTCATATTATTTTTTGGCCTTTCAAATAATACAATTCTACTATGTGTCCATTTTGAAACCTTTGATCCAGATGTTTGGTGAGTCACGTTAACTTTGTTTTATGTTTAATCGACTTTTTGAGCCCTAAACCTTTTGACTCACACCTGCAGCTTGAGTCTTGCTATGTTTAGGTGAATGAGTTGGGGTTATTTAACATATTGGGGTTTTCATTGCTTTGTCTTATGACCCTAATACTCTGTTATTGTTTTGATTGTTTTGTCTTATCATTCAGTATGAGGTCATCCCTCATTTAGGTTAAGCCATGATCAGCAAGACTTAGCATTTCAAAAGCAAATGCAAATTAATCTTTGAGGGAAAGGCTTATAGGTAAAACAAAATCATCTGTGAATATTCTCCTCAGCGTTTCAGGTTTTATTAATTGATTAACAGGCCATTAGTTTGTCAGGATGTTTTAACGAGTCCACTGTGCAGGCTGTTTATTTTTGAATGTGGACTGGTTGGTACTGGACACATTTGAAGTGAGATTTGGCTCTAAACTGATCACTCAGAAAACAGTCTCTCCCCCTGCCCCCATTTGAGGCAACTGATTCACTTTCCTAGCATATCTGTGCTGGCCCAGCTGTAGCCCTGACGATAGGCCTAATAAAACCAGGCTCATTTGCATACCAATAGCAGGCGCCATGTGTGGCTAGCTCCTGGTGCCCCAGAAACACGGACTGTGAGGGGACAAGGAAGACTGCGCTCCATGTTGGCTTTCCTTTGTCCTCTAAATAAGCCTTAACTCTAATCCACAATTAATTTTGTGGAATTGTCCCATTTTATTGAGCTTAACTAAATCTCTGTCTCAATCTGAAAATTCTAAATCTATAAAAGTGAGTGTAGGGTGTAAATATAATAACCTACTCTATTCATTTTACTCAGAAGTTAGTTTCAGGTCTTCATCTGAAGGAAGCTGTTGTTTGGACCTCTTGTCATCAGATCACTGAAGGCCTTTAGACAAGGTGACTGAGGGTGCAAGACCTCTTGACCTCATGGCTTTGTAGGGCAAGTTGAGTCCAATGAGAATGAAAGCAAGCAAGCAAAGCTTTGTCTAAAATTCTTCACCAGTCCAAGCTACATCTGCAGTAAAGTGATAAACTAACTACCAGAGAGGCACTAAGAATAACATTTCTTACGTGTTGAGAATGAGTTTGTATTAAGTGTTTTTGTATAATCTATTGGACAGTTTACAACCAGACAGTGATGAATTAAAGGAAAAACCTGGAAAATGAGTGGAGAAACAGGACGACGATGACTCCATGAGGGCTCACTGACGGTTTGATAAGTCTGAAGATGATGTTAATCATATGATGTGGCCTTCATAGTCACCAGATCTCTGTCCAGTCCCAACACCGTTGGAAGATTTAGGATCGAAGTGTCAGACAGTGCTCTCCACCACCATCATCAACACCAGATGATGTAATATCTTTAGGTAGAATGGTGTTGATCCTCCTGTACAGTTCAGAGACTTGTAGAACCCATGATAAGGAGTAGTGAAGCTGTTCTGGCAGCTCATGGTGACCAACAGCTCAAATTGGGTTTTCCTTTAATTTGTCTGTGGTCTTTTGTTAAAGGTCAGAGGCTGAGGTGTTCATTCTTACTACAGTCACAGAGAAAACAACCCGAACCCTCTCAGTATAAACTGATTCTTTAAATGTCTCCAAATTTGGGGTGACCCGTTTCATACATGCCATAAATAATATACATAATGATGTTAATTGAAGGATCCCATGTTTTTCCCCATCACCCCACACATTACAGTACTACGGGTGTAACTGCAGAAAACTAAATGACTTCAAAAGTCCCCTGTGGCTGTCAGATAATGTAAGTTGTGAACGTTGTTGAGTACACAGAGGTTGTCTGGGAGGCAGACGACAGCTTGGTTTGAGGGGTGAGGTGGCTGATCTGATTGTGTAAGAGATTCTCTATTCTCTTAAGCCCCCTGCCCCATGCTGGGGGTGTGTTCCCCCTGAGACCATATGGCAAAGTCTGAGCACAACCAGCTCACCTCAGTGATGTAATATTTTATCGATGAGTTTAATGAGAGAAGAGGAAAACTCGGATTCATTCCAGTATTGGTTCTGTTGTGATTCAGGTCCATCACATAGGTGTTTTCTCATTTTCAACTTCCATGAAACTTAAAAATATAACAACACGCGCAAACACAAATGTGGCCAGGAGAGGGAGCTATTGTACCATGTATCAGCAGCCGTGTACACCTCTGTAGACTGCATGTTATAGTCTGGAGAATTAGGAGCAGTTTGTGATGATGCAGTTGGATTAAAGAACCTTTTGTCCTCGTGAGATTTTGATGCACTGAACTCCACAACTCATGAACCTTTATGCTGTGTTATAGTGTGCACAAACTGTCAACAATCAGAACCAGCAGTATAAATGTCAGGTGGTCTTCTTTGTCCTGTCTTCTACTGTGAATCCAGTCAATTGTCGGTGAGCTCTTAGTGTATGTGTTCCTCCCCCTGCTGCCTAGGAATATGAAAATGGTGGATATAGTAGCTCAGAAAATGCCCTCAGAGAATGACGTGCATGTGGCAAGAAGCTTTCTCACGAAGATTTTGCGAAGTTCCATGAGGTACAGTTCTGTGGCTTCATCATAATCAGTAGTAACCATTCCCCTTTTTCCTCTCCTTCCCTCCCTCCCTGCCTGCCCTGTGCCCATAATCACATTAATCATTCGTCTAGTGATAATATCATCTTCATTCCTCTCATAGCAACTCTCCCTCTACTGTGGTTTATTACCTGCCCTCACTGGCATGCCCTTTTTTGGATTGTCTCATTGTTCATGTCATTAGATGAATGATGTTCATCCCATTTGTGGAGCATGTAAATACAATTTGTGTCCATGACATGTATACGCATGTTTTGTGTTTATATTGATGAAAGTCAAATTTTATTTTAATTTTGGTTCATGCCATTTTATGCTTATATATTCTGTTTACCTTCTTTTGACATGCAATTCAGAAAGAACCACTTTAAAGGGTATGTGTAATGTGCAGCTGCACAGAGTTTGTGATTAAGTTCCCATCTGTGACTGTGAATGTCAAAAATGCTGTAAGTCACTGCCTCAGTATAGATGCAGTGACACAAGTAAAAATGTTTTATTTGTGGTTCAGCATCAGGGTTGCAGCACTAGTTATATTTGTAAGTTTCAGTTGCACTGATTCATATATGGAAACACACATACTGTTTTCCATACGGGGTTGCTCTCTAATCCAGTCTGTTTTTTTTTTGCCCTCTCTGCAGGCGGAATGAACCCATAAGCAGGCCTCACTCCTGGCACTCCACCAAGTTCAACGAAAGCCAATCAGAGACTGCCAAAACACAGTCTCCACCCACGCCAGTCTGGCACACCAGATATGATGCAAGGTAACGCTGGGATGTTGAAGTTTGCTTTTTGAGTCTCAGTGTTGGATATCAAACTTTATGATTACTCTTTGGTGACCAAGATAACCGTGAGCTATAAATGATGACATGGCAACACCAAGTAAGAGCCCTGTGTTGTCACTTTATTGCATTGGCTCAATGAGTGAAGGTATAAAGGTTCATTTTATTGACATTCATGACTCTATTCTATATTTAAACATAGAATTATGAATTTTAATTATCAAGATGCAACTTTAAAGAGAACATTCAGTTTGCTTGTCCTGTGTTTGCTGTGTTCTCCAGCTGTGTGGCCAAGGAGATGATAATTAATTAAATGTAAATGTAAAAGGGCCATAATTTATAACCTGATCACAAATAATAGTCTTTAAGAAAATGTCAACGTTTTCTAGAAGAAAAACTGTTGTTTTTTTTTTTCCTCTAATGTCACATGTTGTCATTTCCATTGACCTCCAGCTCATCCTCAACTGATCTCTCCTCTGGCTGGGAGCAGACAAACCTGCGCAGAGTGTCTGACCAGTTCAGCTCTCTTGGCAGCATGGACAGTCTAGAACATGTCGCACACCCGTACCCTGCCGGTCAGCTGTCACCTGCCAAGTCTAACAACAGCATGGAGCACCTCGGAGGAGGCAAACGAGACTCAGCCTACAGCTCCTTCTCCACCAGCTCTGGCACACCAGACTACACCCTGTCAAAGAGCAACACCGCCTCAACAGAGAACATGCTCTATAAAGTCAGCCAGTGGGATGCAGGAGGAAAGCACAACAATGGTAGAAACAGCCAGAGCCTGACTGAGGGAGGCAAACAGGATGATAGGCTCACATATTTTCAGATGCCAGGAGTAAGCGCAGGTTATGAGTGTCCACAGATTGAGGACCCGGCTGGCTCCCGCCATTCCACTTCAAGCAGAACCAGCTTTGGACCTGTTTGGAATGTCCCTGAGAAAAAGAAGACTGCATCCCCATCCCCTCCCCCACCCCCTCCACCTGCACGCAGTGACAGTTTTGCTGCAACAAAGGTACATGAAAGGGGGCTCGTGATAGCTCACCCTGAAGGACCTGATCCACACAAGACTGCGACTGAAAATCGCCGCAGCCACAACCTTGCCCTGAAAAGTGACAGCGACAGTTTTTACCCTTCATCTGATAAATCCAGCCACAACCAGTTCAGCTCAAACAAGCAGTACTCCCTGTCCAGCAGCGATGTTCGGCAAGGCCAGCCTTACCATCAGAGACACCACAGTGACAAAAGCACTTTGTATTCTCAGCCCTGGGCTACGTCTGTACCAAAGCCACAGAACGCAGGTGGCTACCACTGTAGCATGCAGGAAATGCCTACTAACGGTTCTGCACAACACTTTGGTCAGAACCAGAGAAGAAACTTAAGCACCTCCCTGTCGATCACAGCCGCTGACCAAAACACTGACAGCAGTGGACACAGCCGATACTACTGTGTCACTACATGCCAGCCCACGCAGCCCAACCCCCAGCTGATGTCAGGGAAACCAGAGGACCGGAGGAGTGTCACAGGCGTGGACCTGGCAGAGAGCAGCAGTGAGCGTAATTCTCTCAGCCCACAGACAGTCACCAAAGTGAAGTATCATCAGCCCCAACAACACTCCTCACAGAGTAAAGACAGTAATGGATACAGCAAGCACCAAGTTACTACTGTACTGGAAACCTGTGTTCCTAAACCCAGCTCAGATAATAGGGGAAGCCAGAGAGGACACAACACTCAAAACACAGAGACTCCGTACGTGAATTACCCTCCTACCAGACAATCTGAACAGCGAAGGTCTCTCCCACTACAACACAGAGAAATACCCCAAGACATTAGATATCACAGTCAAGTGAGCAACAAAATCAGCCCCCAAGTAACCCCCATGCTGCACTCTCTATCCATGGATGCTGCAGGCCAAGATGAGAAAACAAGAGGCACAATCTCTGAGGAGTCCATTGAAAGCAAGCAGGCAAAGCGCACTGATCGTTTTGCCACAACATTGAGGAATGAAATCCAGATGAGAAGAGCCAAGCTGCAGAAAAGTAGGAGCGCAGCAATCCTTCCTGGTGCTGAGGGTGAGACTGAAGACGATCAGGATGTCTGGAAGTCCACTGAAAGCACCACTCCATCGTCTGCAGACGGATCCTTCACCAACACCTACAAGGACCATCTGAAGGAAGCACAAGCAAGGGTGCTGAAGGCTACCTCTTTCAGGAGAAAAGACCTGGAGCCAGTCTTAGTGGAGAACCCTGCAGCGGAGGCCCTACCTAACTACCCATCCTCAGCACTGGCCCGTAAAGATGTCACCCCTCTGCCAACTGTCACAGAATCTGTGATGAGTAAATCAGGGCCTGCTGCTGGTCAGGTGACTCGCATTGGAGGCCGGAAGCGTTTTTCTGCAGAAAAGAAGGTCAGGTCTTTCTCTGAACCAGACAAGATCCATGAAGTCGGGGTGAAAGAAGATCTCCCATGCAACGAAAAAACAAGCTCCTCATTAGACCGACAGAAGCTCTTCAAAGAAAGTGGGAACCAAGTCAACCAAGGCCAAGATCTTGCCTCCATTGGTGCAGCAGGAGACACAATGAAAGGGATCAGCAGCAGAGAGTACACTGAGGAGGCCCAGAGAGCTTCTTACTCTGCACACAAGCAGTCCATCCTAGACCAGCAAAGACTGGGCACCTTTGCTGAGTATGAGGCAAGATGGAATACACAGAAGAAACCACCAGAAACCAGAGCCTCCGGACGGTACCGATCAGCTGATAACATCCTGGATCCTGGACCAGAGGAGAGAACTAAAACCACCTGTTTGCATGAGAGATCCAGATCCTCTCCCTCAGCTGACATCTATGGGCAGGTGAGGCACAAAGTCAGAAAGTTAGTAATCTCAAAATGACAAACATTTCATTGGGATAATCAAAAAATTAGAGGTTTTAAGATGATTTTAATAACTTAAATGTTGCAACTGAACCAAGCTGTCGAGGTGGCTTTACATCTTGTTAAGACAAACACACTGACTGAAGTGAAAGGAACAAAGGAAAAAACCAAGTCAAATATTAATCCATGTTTGTTCATAATGACACACCCTCATCTTAAGGAAGAGAGAGGGGCACCAACCTGCTGACGCCTTTCACAAGTGAAAAGCTGCAAAGCTGCAACATGAGTTTGTTAGAATAATTAAAGAAAGAACTCTGCTATTGGGATCACTGGAAACTTCTTTTCTCTGGATTATTAACTTTACAGTCTGTGTGTTTGTTCAACTTTATTTACAGAAGATTCCAGTTCCTGCAAGAAAGTCTGAGACCGAGTTTTCACAGACTGAGAGAAAACCTGCTGAGCTGCTCGACACTGCTACAGGGTGAGTACATTTCATTTTCATTTGTGACCTGCTAGTGAACCAGCGTCTGTGGAAGTGGGGCTACTTCATGTCTCAGTTATATAATACTGTATATAAATGCAAGAATATCAGTGTTTTTGCATTTGAGGTTTTGCTTTACTATAATGTACAGTTTGACAGTTGTATTATTTTGATCTTGCACCTGTGTCATTCTATCAGCATATTTTTCGTGATATCTTAGTGTTTTTGCTCGTGAGCTTTATCAGTGAAAGATGGCAATGAGATTGTAGAGGAACAGTGAAGTCTTTGTGATCTGTCAAGGCATACCAGTGGCACTGCCCTGGCGCAGCTGTGACAACATAAGCTGTCTCTCTTGCTGCGCTTTGTGTCGTTCAGTGGAGGCTTACTGGTGTAGGCGAGGCATGTCTGTGACAGTGAGGAAGTGTTTCTTCAGCCCTCTATTGGAATGTAATGGGGACAGGAGTTCAGGGGGCCGGTCTAAGGCATGAAATTATCATCAATAAGATCTGGTGCTTTGCATAATTAGATTTTTAGCCATGCTAGTGGCAGTGGCTCCATGGGTGGCGATGTCATTCAGTTGGTTGGTTCCACCACTTTGGTCCAGACAGAGACACCTCAACAACTATGGGATGGATTGGTATGAAATTTCGCACGCACTCTCTTGGTCCTCAGAGGATGAATCCAGTTGAATTTCATGATTCCATTTCCTCTCGCACCACCATGAGATTGCCATGTGGTCTTTAGTGAAATGTCTCGACAACTACTAAATAGATTACCATGGAATTTGGTGCCCACAGTCACGTCCCCCTTAGGATGAATTGTAATAACTTTTCATCTAGCGCCCACACCATGTTAGCACTTTCATGATGACCATGCTAGCATGCTGAAATGACCATTTAGCTGAAAGCTGTGTCTAAGTGCAGTCTCACAGAGCTGCTAGCATGGATGTAGACTCTTGTTTAGCCTCTGTGTTTCAGGGAAAAAATAATTATAGAAAACTCTTTTGTGCTTTCAACAATTAGATGCAGGCTACAGAGTAGGTGGGCATAGCTAGCTAAATACAGACTCACATCTACAATAACTTCAGTGGGGAAAAGTGTGGAAATATTAACCCTGATTTGAATTATGTATAAGACTGGAAGAAGGTTTAAATAACAAACCTCAAGACTATGAAGCTGCCTGTGTACATGAAGTGGTTTGGTGACAGTGGATTAAACCTACTTGCTTGCTGACTGTTTGTTTTATGGGAAGGGTGAAATGTTTACAGCTAACACTGATGATTTAATTTGATCCTTTGATGATCCCATATGACCTCCAGTTGTCTGTTCACCTCTTTTGTTTCTACCTTTATTTAGAAATGAAGCACAGCAATTATTTTATATTTTTCCACCAACAGCATCCAATTACGCTGAAATCAAACAAACATTCCACCAAGTTTACCTTACTTGACATGGAGAGTACCACTCCAGATGTCGCATAATGTCTTCTATGGCTCTAGAGGAAAAAAATAACCTTGATGACATCATCAGGGTGAACTCATTTTGGGCTTGAGACAAAAAGAAAATTTTAAACTGAAATCAAGTGTTTCAAACTGGAGGTGAAAGAAGTGGGTAGTTACCACACAGAGAGGCTCTAATGAAATATACTATACTATATACTAATATTGCGATTCATTATGGGATATCTCAGCTTCAGCCTTTGTCCCCCTACTTAAAGGAAAACCTAAATTGCTGGAATATCCCTTCATTGCAAATGCTTTGAAGTGGATGTTTATGCAGTAATGTGTTTACTTGATCTATGTATTGTGTGTATTTTAATCTTAATGCCAGGTTTGTAAAAGTAGAATTCAGATGTTTAATACTTTAACATGTTGGTCAGATTGTCTCAGATTACATAGGGTGATTCTTAAACTATGTAAGGTGACATAGTCAAGATGAATTCATGGTTTGTAACCAGTTATTCAGGAGTCTTTGTGCATTATCTAAACTCCCACTGGTGAAACTCATTGAAGGGTGTAGAGTATCCCTCATGTAGGAGCCGCACCATATGTCACGTTTGCATTACAACAGTGCAGAGGATGTTATTGTCATTCAGAAGTCTGAGAGATGAGCTAAGTGAGGCGTGCTCCACCCTGATAGTGTTATTGATACAGGTGTAAAAAGACTCCAACAGGTGGCTCCTGTCAGAGAGTCATCAGACAGACAGACAGACTCGCTTTTACCTCTGTTCTCTGGAAATGACAGCAGTAAGACTTCACATAGGGTGAGTTGGTACAATATCTTATTACGTATTTGGTTTTAAATCTATTATATTCCTAAAAATCCTATACGTTTCCACAGCTGCTAACGAGAGCGACAACATTTGTAAAGTTGGAAACATCCTGAATGCTTTCTTGTCTCTTATTTCACAAAGAAAATAGTGTATTAGTGTATACACACCGAAAGGATCAGAGATAATGTTTGGGCACCTTAGACGGACAAAAATGTTTAAGAAATTCTTTATTATACAATCACAGATAAGTTATTTTCTTGAGAGTGTGTCGTGTTTTCTGACATAAACGTGTCATTGGTTGAACACCTACATCACAGTAATATAACTACCAGATATCACTGGCATCATGTTTCACGTTTGTGCGAGGTAACTTTCTCACACTGTTTCCAGAGGGGAGGGTGTAAGCTTCAACAGCAGTTGTTCTTTGGGTAACTTGTCAGAGCTTGTAAGAATTCAGACTGGGAGGTTTGAGTCGTGGCCTCTGTCTGTCCACACGTCTCTGTACTGTGTCATGTGACTGAAGAATCAATATAATGTTGACTTAAATTAAAGCTGTGTGGTTTATGTGTTAATGTTCTCTGAGAACTCCTAATTGACTGTGTATGAGATCTGTTTGCATGAAACCACAGCAGTAGGTAGGTTTGTATGCCTTCACCATAGTGCCCAGATGGCTGAGTTAATGGCATCTTTCCACTGTGATGTATGTTAAATTATGCTAAAGGTTAAAACACTTCACCTCAGCTCAGCTAGTTCACTGTCAGGTCTCTAGTGACCGCTGTGATCTCCTGACATTGACCTTTTCTTCCTCTTCCATGTCTGACTTTACCAAAGAGTTAAAAGTGTAAATGTGAATCATCAGGAAAAAGTGATCCGGTCTTGCTTCTTTGCACTGGAGGATTATTTATTCCTCTATGGAGACTTTGTGGGAACTTAAATATTCCTCTTCAGACTGCCAGCTGAACGGTTACCAGGGAGGAGGCCTTCACAAGCCAGGGAGACGTGTGTCTTGTCATGCTGGCATAATCACAGTGGCTGCTGGAGACCAACACGTCCTCCACCACAGTGTATTATTTGATAAAGCTGCAGATGATAGTTGGTGCTGCCTCGCTGTGTAATTAAAAGCTTTCTATTGTGTTCCTCAGGTTCTCTGACAGAAGCCCCGGTGACTGCAAAGTGAGAGAAAAGCCGGTGGAGTTTGAACATTACTCAGCGCCACCCCCTCCGCCCATGACAGGAGCCAACCCTGACAGCAGACACAGAGCTGCTCCTGCCACCATGAACCACAGACCCACATCTGTCTCTCATGGTCTCACGGAGTCTGGCCTCCCTCAGCCTGGGGACCACAGCCACAACGAGTTGCCATCTGGACTGAGGAGGAAGCCCTCTGCGCTGGAGAAGCCTCCCCCTCCTACATGCCCAGAGGTCGACTCCCAAGAGTCCTTCACCAGTTCCCAGAGTGAAGTCTTCATCCACTGCTCTCCTAACACTGATCCTAACTCCGCCTTTGTCCCCACCCACTCTGCAAAGGGAGATTCTGAGCAGGGCAAAGGACTTGTGGACAAAGGACAAGGGGCAGTACATCATCTATCAACATCCAATCCTCAGCTGGCCTCCTCTCCCCCGGCTTCCTCCTACAGACCTTCAGGGCTGGCCAGTATGGAGAGGCAGCGCTCACCATCTCCACAGTTTTCCCCACAAAGACTCAGCGACAAGCCTCCAGTCTCTCTGCAGGATGAAGACTCAAGCAGGTAAACTTTTTTGTTCTGTTTCATGAGTTCCACAGTGTTGCTGCAACTGCAAACTCCCACCCAGTTTAGTCAGAAGTCAGTGACTGTAACTCCACTACTTATCGTGTCTTTATGCTACTTGTACAAAAGGGCTTATTGAGAGTCACTGCCTCTGTAGAATCAACATGCAACATGTGAGTGCTATCAAGCCACAGTAAATTAGAGGGATTCTCCGAATTGCTATAAAAGCCACTGGCGGTTTCGGCGTAATTCAGTTAAATGCTGAAAATGTAAAATGTAGTCTGAAGCTCCAAACATGAAGCTGTTTGTTCATCTTTCTGATTCAGAACTAATTGATATCATCTGTAGTGAACCTCTGACTGTACAGTAGGATTATTACAGCTAACAAAACCAAAGTGGTAGGAGGAGTCCACATGTCTTCCAGCACACTGGGCATGGAAAAAATCTGAGTTGCCATCATGCAGTGAAACTTTAAATCATCGATGGCTGGAACAAAACTGAGGAGATTTTCTTCTCCTCACACAGAGAGACTTCCCCGAGCTTCATTTTATAAGTTTGTCTCTTTTTCTTTCTCTGATATTTCAGGATGGAGCATGTGACAGAAAACCAAAATTCTGCAGTGAAGAAAGTTCCCATTAAGATCGTCCACTTAGAGGGAGCCACAGAGAAGGAGAACAGTCCATTTTTGCAGCACAGTGACTCCTCTGCCATTAAAGCCGAGGCTCCTGGTGTTAACAGGCTCAGCAGTCTGGGAGGTGCAGGGCAGGACTCTGTCTTCTGTGTCTTCACTCGGCAGAGAGAGCCCGACAGTCCACCAGCTTCTCAGACGGACACATACATGACCACTGTCAGAGATCACATCAACTCCAACTGTCAGCAGCCACCGCAGCCCACAGACGAGCCCGAGCCCAGCAGAGACAGGACCGCTGTCACCACAGGACTGACTGAGGAGGACCAGAAGAGAGAGGAGCTGGCCAGGGACATCATGGGGAAGGACAAGTCACTGGCTGATATTCTGGATCAGAGCAAAATGAAGACCACCATGGACTTGATGGAGGGCATCTTCCCTCAGGGGGAGCAGCTGCTGGAAGAAGCTCATCAACGCAGGAAGGTGCCCCCGAAACAGTCAGCTGCCCGGCCTGCTGAGGAAAGGTCAGCCTCACTTTAACTTCTGTATGACCTGAGAGGTGCCTGTTCTTATATCTGTGATCTGCTGGACTAACTTACTGTATATAAAACCACAGGGCACTGTTGAAAAAACATTCACCTTTTTTACAGTTCACCTGATTACTCTTCCTTATTTGACCTCTACAGTGTGTATTTACTCTCAGTATGTTTAGTTTCTACATATGAGAGTAAAGTCATTCATATACATGAGCTTGGAAAAAACCACTGGGCCTCAAACAGTTTAGTATTTTTCTTCCAAAACACTCAACATGTCCGTGAGGCTTACTGTTCTGTACCACGTGTGGTTTCATTTACACAGATGTTACCAGAGAGTAAAACTTCAAGTCAAAAAACAGCAGGTGAAAATATGACAGATGTTACTGTGTTAGTTGTCACATTACCCTGAAACAATGTTATGTTAAAACAGCAGCCAGTGATATCCAGTCAGAGCAGCGCCACAGAGAACTGACTGACACCAGTAAAGATACAAAAATCTGTCTGACCAAAGAAAACCGGTTCATACATTCGACCACTGGTTCTCAACCAGGTAAAAACTTGCACCACAGATTATACTTCTGAAGTTGCTGGTATATGGAGTAGCTGTGGAGTAGCTCAGCTGATATGAAAAAAATAGAAATTATGATTTGATAAAATATATGCCAGCTACAATAGGCTGCTACACTGTGCACACATCCCTCCGGTATGAGCCAGTTCTAACACCTTTATAACTGCACATCCTCATGTTGCCAGAGAATTTGAAATAGTTGTTAAAAGTAGCTTCAGTCACTCCAGACAGACCAAACATCGGGCAGAAAAGGCCAGGTACAACTGTATTAGGCCGCTGCGTGCAACACAGGATGTCTGGATGACAGACAATGACCAGCATGAAGACCCTGACAGCTGTTTGTTTGAGTCTGAGAAAACTGTGAATCAACAAATTGTCTTGAATCACTCGTGTGTCACAGAACAAATGTGTTTGGTTCTTTCACCAGTTTCCTTTGACAAGAGTTTACCCTGGGTCTTTTTATTTGGTTTGGAAACATGATTTTGTTTTTTGTATTTCAGGGAAAAGGAGGACAATATGGCAGCAGCCGTTACCATGGTGACCAGCTCTACATATTACAGCACATCTGCTCCAAAGGCTGAACTCCTCATCAAGATGAAGGACATGCAGGAGCAGAAGGAGGAAGACTCAGAGGAAGAACTGGACATTGATCTGGCCAACAAGAAGGTACCAGACACTGAACACACATTTAGTCTTCATATCATCAAATCATGACCCTCCCACCCCTGACTGAAGGCCTTTGAGAACAGTATTAATTAATGTTTGTTTTTGTCATGTAGCAAGAGTTGATTGACAGCCTTAGCAAGAAGCTACAGGTGTTGCGGGAGGCCAGAGAGAGTCTTCAGGAGGACATCCTGGACAACAACGCCCTGGGAGACGAGGTAGAGGCCCGAGTCCAACAGGTCTGCAAACCCAACGAGCTGGACAAGTTCAGGATGTTCGTTGGGGACCTGGACAAGGTGGTGAGTCTGCTGCTGTCTCTGTCAGGCCGTCTAGCCAGAGTGGAGAACGCCCTCAACAGCCTGGAGGAGGATGCTACAGCTGAGGAGAGGGTCAGTGGATATAAATCTTAGAAATCTAAGTGATGGTGTTTGAAGAAAATGTGTCATATCCTCAGTAATCCTGATGTTTGTTTCCTCTTCAGCGTACGCTAGTCGAGAAGAGGAAGCTGCTGATCCGACAGCATGAGGACGCAAAGGAGCTGAAGGAGAACCTAGACCGTCGGGAACGTGTCGTTTATGACATCCTGGCCAACTACCTGCAAGAGGACAGCCTTACAGACTATGAACACTTTGTCAAGATGAAGTCTGCGCTCATCATCGAGCAGCGCAAGCTTGAGGACAAAATCAAACTGGGCGACGAGCAACTCAAGTGTCTGATGGACAGTTTGCCAATAGAACAGAGGCTGTCCTTCTGAAGCCCAAAGCTCTGATTAGACAGACTGGTTATTACTCACTGTCCAGCAGAGGGAGACAGAGACAAACAGCCTGTTTGCAACAATGACTGTTGCATTTTCTCACAGTTTTCAATTCACACCTCCTGAGGTGGACTCCCACAGACTGACAGCATCCATATGTAACTCCTTTGTGACAGATGCTGCTTTTCCTGGCATCAACAGACCACTGTATCTAATGTCTTTCATGCCATTTTTTGCTGTTTTTATTCTGTGTTTTTGGCTCCTTTTTTAGTAATTTATTGTAGCCTTTTGAATCTGTGCAGGAGGGGACAGTATTTTATCTTCAACTGATCTGAGCAGCCACACTACCTGATGTGTGTTACATGCTGAGCAACTAAGAGTATTTATCATGTTTTATGTTTAAATAATTTCACACTCTCTAACCCTTTTCAGATAAACTATGAAATCTGGCCAAATATTTCAGTCAACTCAAACCTTTTTGTCAAAATTTATAAACTAGTGGCCTTGTACTAAGATTTCTGTGCCCTCGCTTCCCTCACTAAAGAAACTTTTCTTCTGCGATAAACAAGATGAAGACAGAAGGATGTGAGTGCAGCAGTGTAACCTTGTGAATGTCCTGGTCATTTTAAAGAGCACTTGTTCAACTTCACTAAACAGAAGAAGCACTTCACATCCAGACTTTAACTCCACAGTCAAATCCACATTGAACATGCCTGGGGAGTTCTCCATGTCACTGAAAACACTGTCCGATCTTAAATCCACCTCTGCATGTTGTTTCTGTCAGTGCTGCTCTGTTTTATTCACGGACACAGAATCTTGTTTAGATAATGATGTTGCCACATGTAAGTTTACCAAGTCTGTATTTTTGTCTTATTACTTCACTGTGTTTTGTTATTCACGGTGCAGATGTTTCATAGTTACCACAGATGTTGCTTGACCTCTAGATAATTTCAACACTAAAAACTGTTCAGGTTGATCATTCTGCAACCAAATATGGAACGAAATCGTTCCAAAGCATTTTGACCAGCTTGAGCTTTGAGTCTATCAAATGTCTAAATTTCAGACTGTCAGGATTAAATCAGTGTCCCCGAGGTGAAGCCTGGTGGAGGGTGTTTGTTCTGCACATGTGAGTATGTTACAGTTTGAAACGCTTTGTGCACTGCTACAGCTACAGCCTGACTCTTAACACTTTATCAGCTGTGCTCCTTTATGTTGAATAAAGAGTCTGCTGAAATCACACACCAGTGTTTGATTGATTTCCTCTCAGTGATCGGCTCATGTCCATCGTCATTCATTAACCTCACCCCGCCCTCCTCTCTGCTGATAGTTAAGATACTCCTTGTCATGTCGAAGTATTCGACATGACAAGGAGTATCTTAACTATCAGGTGGTGTTCTCTCACACACTGGAGCAAAATGTGGACTGTCGCTCAGACTCTTTCTCCTGTGATATATGAAGCATCTGTGGAAGGATCCAGTGTCTGATGAAAAAACATCACAGTGAGTTAAAGGGCAAAATGTTAGAGAGGGTTGTTTTGTTTTACTGCATAACCTGCAAAGATTTAAATGGACAATCATTAACTCCAGCAGTGCATGAACAGATGGTACCTACAGTTACTAGAAAATAAGGTTTCTCCGCACTTTCACTGAGGAGCTGTATTCTAATTCTCTAAATTAATTTAATCCGAAATCATTTCTGTATGTTCCAAAACTTCTAAAAGTAATTTATTTTCCTCACCGTATTTGTAGACATCGTTTATATCCTGGATAATTTGATATTGTTTGAAAAAAGAGGAACTTAAACATCTCATTGTGATGCTGTTTGTTACAGTCCAAGTTCTTCTTCTATGGAAATAATCTCAGTGTCTGTTAATGTATGCTTGTACAAATACAGCTGCATCATTATATGTAGAGTTTACCTGAATAATAAGTGGAGTAACTGTGGTGACAGTCAGTTATCATCAGATTATATTAACAGTCATGGTCTCGGTGCTGCACATTGCACACAGTCTCATTGTTGGTTCTGTAGCATGTTTTGATGAGTATCAACATGATGTAAATCACATGTGGAGCAGTGAAGCTGTTCTAGCAGCTCGTGGGGTTGTGGTACAACATCTTACTAAGGCACTTTATGTTGGTTTTTCCTTGTGTCACCTGTTTGTGGATACATGGTCTTTACAGGAGAAAAAAAAGTATTTGTGTATCAGTAGTGAATAATGAGTATTATTATTAGTAATATGTGTATATATGGACAAAATATTTCAGATAACTTGCTCTGTTCAGGACAGACTGCATATGGAAGACGTGGTACATTATACTACTGGATCAGTATTGATATAAGAGCTGAGCATGTGGCCAATCGTCATTTTTCAAACAAAAGCACATAAAAGACAAACATTTTTATCAGTGATCCCTGTTTTTAAAGAATGAAGACCAGGATATTATTGAGGGGGGGCATTTTACAGTGTTACCTGTTAGTGATCTGTGGACTCGATTTATTGGTATATATACACACTTACAGTATGACATAATATATCTACAACAGGTTTTTGGCCCAGCTCCCAGGTATAAAACAGTAAATATGATACAGATAATAACAGTGGAATAAGAACATGGAGCAAAGCAATTCAGTTGTCTTCAGGCCTCAGTTCTCCAGATCTTTGGCACAAGGCACCACCGACATATTGAAGCTGTCCTCTCATATTCAAAGTTTCTCAGCAGTTATACAGAGAACTGTAATTAGTAAACAGAAATTAAAGAGGCCATATCACCACCTCGTGTTTGTATCCCTCCGCCAACCTGATGGTCACAGTCTCTCCTTCCTGAGTTACAGTGTTGAATAATGGGCAGAGTTGTTTTTACAGAACATTATGATGTCACAGTGAAGTTGACCTTTGACCTTTTGGATTTCAAATGTCATCACTTCATCATTTTATCCTTATAGACATTTGAGTTAAATTGTGTCATTATTAGTGAATGAATTTGAGTTATGGCCAAAAAAGATGTTTTGTGAGGTCACACTGTGACAGAAGTGATGAAATTCCATCTGAGGATTCCTGATATATTTAATTCACAAGAATGTGAGGTCACCATGACCTTGCATTTGACCTCTGACCACCAAAATCTAATCAGTTCATCCTTGAGTCCAAGTTAATGTCTGTGCCAAAATTGAAGAAGTTCCATCAAAGCGTTACAGAGATATCATCCACGCGGCGCAGAGGCATAATGAGACCAGAAGATGAATATATCTGTGTTTGTTTCATCAGGTGTGATGACGTCAGAGAAGCTGCATGAACTCAACATTGTGTGAGTCAGCGAACAGTCTCTCAGACGTTAGTGGTCACACTGGACAGGATGATTTATCTGGCCCACACAGCTCACAGGCAGTTCCTGGGCCTGGTAGCAGGTTTCCTGGCGTGGATCTTCACCATGACCACGGTCAGCCTCAACGAGTGGCGGCTGTGGCACGTGGACGATGTATCCGTCATCACTTCGGGCGTGGCCTGGGTGGGTATCTGGAAAGCGTGTTTCTACAGCCAAGTCCTCCCAGAGACGGAGAACTGTCGGAGCATCAGTATCTCAGACTCTTTTGTCCCAGTGGAGATCCCCGTGGCTCAGGTGCTGATGGTGCTGGCGGTGGTCTGTGGCCTGGTGGGAAACGTCAGCGGCGCGGTGGCCATGAGGATGGTCTACTTCTCTCTGGAGGATCGCAGCAGCATCAGGCTGGTCTTCATGCTGGCAGGGACCCTGTATCTGCTCACAGGGATGTTGTCCTTGGTGCCGCTGGTGTGGAACATGAGCTCTGTGCTCAACAACAGCACCATAGACTTCCCTCCTGAGTTTCACCTCCCTGTGCCTCCTGTCAGGCAGCAGGTCGGCTCTGCCATCGGGGTGGGCATCTTAGCCTCCGTCCTGATGCTCATCAGTGGCCTGCTTTTCCTCTCCTACCACTACGCCTGGAACACTCTGAAGTCAGAGGCCCCCAGAGACACCAGGGACCCACTCCATGGTCCCTGGAATGAGTTAACAAATGGAGTCAACCAGGGAATGGATAATCCTGTGTTCCACATTGAAGAAGTCTCATGATGGAAAAACCTGAACCGGCAGGAATACCACAGAGAAGAGTCTCATTTAACGCAGAGATGCTGAATCAATCACATTTTATTATCGTTTATGATGTTACATCAAAATTCATCCTTATACAGACTGACAGATGAGAATTCATTATCACTGGACATTAATTATAATTATATAATTAAACATGATTTATAGTGATATTCTCATGTGAAGAATTACTGCTGGCATCCCCTCCATATACAACAACAATGCTGATTCATTACAAGTACATGAGACAACACAAGAGTTTACACATGTACTCAGAGCACATATGAATCACACTGTTTTAATGTGACATACATCAGAATATAACCTACAATAAGTGGCTGGTCATGTAGGAGCAGTAACACAAGCTGTAACATAACACCTTCATACTATCACTATTTAGGTTTATACAGTGAACTTTTTACAAAACAGTTGCCTATTTACACAGATTAATCTCCTACGGCTCCCTGGGGCAAAAATCTTTTGACCCCCACTGAACATGGCAGGTTCACCCAGAAACCAACCAGGACTCCAGAGCAGGACTGATAAGTTGATTAGTTGGTTAAAAGGAAATTAATTGGTGAGTGATTAATAGTTTTAGTCATTTTCTAATAAAATAACCAATAACTGACTGTACCACTGCACCAGCTTCTCAGATGTGAATATTTCCTTGTTTCCCAGTTTTCACTGATAGTAAACTCAACATGTCCTGTGTGTGTCTGACGACTGCTCACACCACAAAAACAGTTTGAAGACATAAACTTGGGTTAATGATGATAATAATGATCGTGATTTTCCACTACTTTCTGAAATTTTACAGACTAAACAATAAATTCATTATTACAGAAAATAATTAATAATGGAAATAATTGTTGATTGTAGCCTCGACTATGAAAAAGTGAAAGCAATTTTATAAAACACAACTTTACAACAAATGAGCTCAAAATAAACAATTCATGTCTGAAAACTAGATTTCACACAAGACAAGTCTACAAGGTTGTAGATAGGTAGTTGATATTCTGCCTCATCATGTAGACTGAAAATCTGGAGCTTCCGGAGCCCCAGGAGGTCCGGGGCCCCGGTTGGTACTGCAGCCCTGCATCTAGCACATATGGAGAAACGTTATCGTTCATTTGGAGTTGTGTTACTGTCCGCCTCATGAATGTCAGCTTGCTCTCTTTTGAGCTCTGCTTTGGCCTTTACCCACTCCTGAGCGGCGTTAGCTTAGGGTAGCTCTGTAGTGCTAAATGTCTGCCATTTCTTTGCTATTTGGTTTTTGGACTGCGTCTCTCTCGGCTGAAGCACGTTGCCTGCTCCAAACAAAAACAGGTGAGAGTGAATCAAAACAGTAATGTTACCAGACCAGAAAACCAAAACAATGAGCTGAAAGAAGCTAAAATGTTCTGTAGAGCTGAGAGGAACTTTTCACATACAAGTCACATGATCTATTATTAATACAAGAGAAATGTTGACAGGGGGCGTCGTGTGGCGTAGTGGTCTAAGCAGGCGCTCCATGTGTAGAGGCTACAGTCCTCGCTGCAGTTGGCCCCGGCCTTTGCTGCATGTCATTCCCCCTCTCTCTGCCTCCCCATTTCCTGTCTCTCTCTACTGCACTTTCAATAAAGGCATAAAAAAGCCCAAAAAAATATACTTAAAAAAAAAAAAAGAGTATTGATGATAGCAGCAGGACTGGAGCTGCCAGAGCTCAAGGACAGATTCATATCTACAGATGTTATAAAAAACTTTATGTCCTCAGTAAAAGCTGAATGTTGGTCGGAGCGAGCAGCCAGGAGGTTCCTGTAATGACTGATCAGCATTATCACCACGCATACGGGGGAGGTAGCATGACATGCCAAGGTGTGGGCTTCTAATGGGCCCCATGTGAGGAGGGATCTCAGCAGGTCAGGTTGACTGGGGGGCCCCCGTTCATGTGACCTGGGTAGGAGGCTGACGAGAGCAGGCATGTGAGTATGGAGAGGGTGATTGTTGCCAGGGAAGGCGCACGCACACACACACGCATGCGCGCGCACACACACATACACGCACACACACACACACACTGTGGCCCGGTGGCCTGCTGCACCTCTCTGGAGGCGGCTAGCTGCTGAGGAACAAAAGACCCTCTTCAGCCGAGCACAGCTCTCTGTCAAAAACACAAGTCCAGAAGTGGATGAATGGCAGACCTGCTTCAGGAGGGTGGTGAGGTGGACGACGGTGGTGCCAGAAATCTGTAACATAGGATCCACTGATATTCATTTAATCAAGTCAAACTAAATATTATTCAAAAACATTCCTGTAGATAAGAGATTTGGGGGAAATATTTCTCTAACTCTGCGTCCAGGCCTTCATCACCCTCCCACCTCTCTCTTGTACATTCCCCTCTGCAGATAAGCCTGACATAATACCCTGAGCCGGTTATGTTTTATCTAATCTGTTATGCTAAGTCATCTACTCTATCAACTGTAATGTTTAATGGAGGAACACTGATAAGAGGAAGGAAGGTAATCACTAAGATTAAAAACCCTTCAGATGTGACATATCAAAGTATAGAGCGTTTCACCAAACATCTATGTGAGTTTGATCTGAAGACATTTTATTTGTAGTTCTAGGGTCAAAAGAGGATGGTGATAAAGCTCCAGGCCGATGAGCAATAATGTGTCATGTGTTCTTTTATCTTCTTCAGAGATACAATCAGAGATCCAGATCAGATAACATTTATAGTCAGTGCCATCTCCATGTGCAGTGGTGGAGACTCTCAGGTGTTTTACATGTGTCTCCATGTTTTATATTTCATCTCTGTTTCAGAGGTAAATATTTTACCTTTGACTCTTTATCGGACAGATATCCAGATTTCAATAAAAACATATGTGGTCTGCTTATAAAATACACACTGTCACAGATTAAACCAGTGGGCCCCAACCTTTGTGACTTGGGACCCCCTTACAAAAAGCAGTGTCTATTTGGGATTCCTTGTTTCAGATGTATCTGAGCCGTTAGCTGTTTCACCAAAAGTCTTTCCTTTCTTAAAGGAGAGCTCCAATGGTCTGTTTAAAGGGACTGGTGAACACTACTGCATGTGGAAAAAGCTGAATAAAACCCTTTGTGTGTCCGGAGGAAGCTGCTTCAAGTCTTGAAAATGAAATAAATCCGGGGGTGTGGAGTTGGACAGAAGTGAGACTATATACAGACCTCTGAAGCCTGCTCCTCAGCTCTGTTTGAGGCCGGTAGCACGAGGCTTCATGAACCCAGACAAGGAGGAGTATGTAACTGTGCATCCTGAGTCAGTGTTGATCTGCAATACGAAACCTGTGGAGTTCTGTTTAACTTCTCAGATGGTTTAATTTACACAGCTGTACCTCAAAATGTAAAATGATCACAAAAAAAGTAAAGATTAAAGTTGAAAAATAAATAAATAAAAGAACACTTTTGTGTGGCAGGATTAGTTTAGTCCTGCTCTCCTCCTTTAATCAACACACAACAACTCAGATTTATCTTGTGAACATTTGGCCTCTATAGGTTTGGGAGAAATGGACTAAACTTCTACATTTTATAGTGTTTGCTGATTGTACTTCTGCACTTTCTTGTAATGGATTTCCCGAAGACTTTTATCATGTCATATCCAGTTGATTTTGATACCTGCAGCTGACATTTGTTGTGCTATAGCCACTGAATGTATTTAGTAGTTACATTAGTTACCTCTTGTTCTGTGAGTCTGGATTCAAATGCATTGCACATCATTTCTGTGCATGTGTGTGTAACGACGTCACATGTAAGAGTGGAACAGCCAGTCCTCTGGATTTTAAAAAAGAGAAAAACTTATCACTCATCAGTTCAAAACAGTCAGTTTAACTAGTTCAAGTTGTGCAAGTTGAATGACTTCTGTTGTACTTCTGACAGAGAAGCAGCTTAAACATGGACATGGACAAAACTCAGGGACTTGTATTATGAAGACATTATCACCAGTGACCACAGGTGTCGCCAAATCAACCAGGAGTGAAACCTTAAGGATTAGAACTTTAAGAAAAGGACGTGAGGACTTCCTCCACCGCCAGGCCAAAGTCTCTTTGTAAAACAGTGTCAGTGATGGCGGGTTCTTCTTGCAGCTTTACATCTGAGCAGTAAAATCTAGTGTCTCATGAGAGATAACTCTGATCTCATCTTTCTAGTGTCAGATAAATCAGATAAGGGGATTTATTTAGGGTGCAGGAATATTATCATGGTCGTTTATCTTTTCTGAGCTGATTTCACAAAACATCATTTCCAACCTGCTGCTGTGAACATGATATCTCATCAGAGTTTGACCTCAGGGTTGGATAATCTCCATCTCCATCTGAACTGTCAGAGTAGAGGGCCATGTTACTGCTTTGAGAGACACTTTAATTATCACCTCCTCAGAGCAGAGCTTGTTTGTTTGTTGTCGGATACATTTAGACATAATTCCTTTGGAGGAAAAGACATGCCACTTCCTTTTTGTTGCCCCACAGCAGCTGGAGTCTCAGAGTAATCAAGAAGAACATCTCCTCAGTTGTTTTCACTGCCTCCCCTGCTGATGGCCGCCTCACACCGGGAGACACGACGCCCTCCCTGCAGCCATGGCGTCCGAGGAGAGAGGAGGCCGATCCATGCTCAGTGGCTCTGTGTGGCTCTGACACAACCACCGTTAGCTGCTCACAAGTAAAGTCTGTCACATCGTGAGCTCCTTAGGAAACATATGCTTCTGTGACAACATCATTATCTCTTATTAACTTCATTTATAAGATCTAACTCCATAAAAAGACCATCATTAGTTTTATAAATCATCCTCCTTCTATGCAACAACACATTCATGTCACTGTAGCAAGTGCCAGAGACAGGTCTGCAGCACAGAGAGCAGCAGCGCCCTCTGACCTTGGCAAATTTGTGTAATTATGTCAAAGCAGGAGCCGCGAGGGCAACCTGTTCTGCATTCTTCACAGTACACGCCGCCCATTAAAGCATTCATTAAACACAGCTTAGCTCAGCAAGTGACCAGGAAATCTGATGGAATTAGTCTCAAGCTGCGTTTCCACCGCCGCAGACACACCTGATGAACCGAGATGCCTGTTTTCAGTCCCACACCCACCCCCACCCTCACCCCCACCCACCCCCCCACTCAGCTTGTTGTCTGGTTGGAGGGTGACTGGGGACCAAGTCAGACCAAAATAGGCTGTGGGTTTATGAGACTGATGGGAAACTGGATCATGAAAGAACAAAAGAGCAGTCATATTTCCACCTCTGATATAAGTGAAGAGTTTATCAACACATCATCATTTTCATCAAATTCTAATAGAAAATACAGTACTAGAAGAAATGACATCTTTAATGGAAAAAAGAGAAAATATTTCAATAGAATTTCAACAGAAGTCTTTATGTGAATCTTCTGAACGTGCTGCATGTTACAGCACATAAGCAAACTCCACTAGAAAAACATGTGCTTTCTCTATGTTTTGGTATCAAGAATAATTTACAATCACAGCATTTTAAAGCTAAATTTTCTCATAAATGAGACACTATGAGACCCTGTTTCTGCTTTGTTGGTACTGATAAGAGAAAGGCCCAGAATAAGGAATATAAAGCATCTTATAAAACATATCTTTAAAAAAATATTCATTTGTACTGTCACAGCAGGTGGTCCTGAAATCAAATGTTTGATTGTACAGGTGAAAATGGCTGGAACAAGGTGTCAATTTCACTGTTTTACAAAGCCTTTGAAATGATAAAGAAACTTTCACACAGTAAATTGTATCTGATATTAAACCAGATGTCAACATCATTGTTTCTAAGCAGTTTGAAGTGCAGTTCTACAGTTGATTGTGTTGTGCTGTCAATCTCTAAGCAGGTAAATCATCATCATTCATCCCTTAAACGTACTCTGAGCGCTTCCTGAAGTTAACGTCTGTGCTCATCACCTGGTAGCGCCGCTGCAGCGCAGGCTGAGGCTCCACCTGGGAACACAAGCAGGACGAGACCAGAAGCAGCCCGGCCACTATGAGAAGAAATCCTCCCACCCAGCCGCAGAACAAGGCATCTCCAAACTCCCACCTGGGCACCACATCAGGTACTTTATCATCGAAGAAATGGATCACGGCTAAATGAGCCATGTAAGACACAGGGACCAGACACAGCACTCCAGAAACCATCCCCAGCACCCCTCCGATCACGGTTAAAGTCCTCTTGGTTTGATACCCTCCATGTTCTTTACAGCTGTTGACCAGGTAAAGTCCAGGTATAGCTACCAGGATTCCCAGCATGCCCACAGCGAGGGAGGCGCACATGAGGATGCGGGCCAGCTTGAGGTCACTGGACAGGCCCAGCAGGCTGTCATAGGCTCTACACTCCATCCCCCCGACATCCTGGACCACGCAGGTCTCCCACAGGCCCAGCTCGTAGCTCTCCACAGGCAGCAGCGCCGTGGACATGGTCAGCCACTGTGGTAAGATAGTGGTCGTCAAAGCGCACAACCACGCTCCGACATAGACCAGCATCCCCAGCAGCTCCAAGGCGGAGGCGCACGTATCCATCTCTCTCTCTCTCTCTCTCTCTCTCTCTCTCTGGACTCCACGCTCGACAGAGCCACAAGAGTTCTTCTTCTCTGGAGAGCCCTTTTGACGTCCAGTCAGGAAAGAGGCTGCTCACAACACCTGATAATTAGACTTGACTGCTTGGTCTCTGAACTCGGAGCTCTCTCACAAACAGTTTCCACTCAGAGGAGCTCACATCTTCTGCTGCAGGGAGGAGAGGGGGCCGCTCGGCCCTCCCCTTTGCGGTCCTCCTGCTCCTGCTGCTGTGCCAATGGGCAGCAGGGGCAGAGGCAGAGATGACCAGGCTGCCACAAGATCTCTATCAAAAGCTTTTATTCTACGATAGCAGGCCTCGAGAGATCTCATCAGACATGTAGACAGGATATTATTTTTGCATTTTTATGTTGAAAACGCTTCCTGATGTCTATTTTTGCATTCTGTACCCCCTCAGAGAGACAGCAGTTTCAGCAACAAATAAACACAGGCAACACAAGGCAATAAAGTCAGGTTATTATTTATTTGTACAAATGTCAAAGATAAGCTTCTCATCAACTGAGCTGCCTCCAGAGATACAATAAAACCTCTTTAATCTGTGTGATTAACATTAGAACCTCTGGCTGCAGCACTTATACTGTCCTCATGCCTCAGGAGCATGTGTGCTAAAGACGAGACTGTCTTTATAATGTTAAGGTATCATAAACACACAACCAGGCTCTTAATTATTTTATATCCCATGCAAGGAAAATAAAATTTGCTCCCTGGTTTATCTAAAGAATAATAGTGCATGCTATTTTACTTTCATGTCCATCAGTTTGGGATAGCTGGTGTCACAGTCAGGCTTTTTGCTGCATGTGACTGACACAGAAACAACAGAGCAGCTTATTGTGTTTACTCATATGAATACTACACAGCCTGTGGGAAATGGACGTAGGAGGCTATAGATCAAAGCTGTGATGTGAGAAAATGTTTCCCAGCTACACACACACACACACACACACACACACAAACAAAAATGCACAGATAAAATCCCCGGCCTGTTACACCCCTCCTCCTCTGGAGAAGAACAGGCTCAGCTGACTGAAGAGACGCCTTGACAAACACTCTGCGTTTGTTTGGCCACACACATGCACACACACAGCCTGGTGCACTGGTAGAAGGTCGCAGCACGGGGACATTTATCTGATGCACGGGGTGGATGGAGTGACAGGCAACTCCAAACCCCACCAGAAAAAGACAACATTTTCTTCCACAGTCTCACAACATCTCTGCAGTGACACAGATGTAAAGAGTCATAATCACAACATGTTTGACCACAGAAATCCCCGCTCATTGGAAATTCCTCTTGAATTTCATGCCACACTGAATTTCAGTAACTACAACAGAAACCTGGAGGAAACTATGAGGCAATAAATTCAGTGAGTGGAGCTTCAGGTCCTACTGGTTACAGATAGAGGTCGCCAAGGTCCTGAATTACACAAGATGTCAAAAAACTGAATCCAGCTTCCTCTTGATAGAGTTCTAACTGTTGCTCAAGCACATATAAATAAAGACTTAGAACATATAAAGTATGACCCTTGAACTGGATCAGAGAACTGGACCTGCTGCCTCTAAATGGTGAAGATAGAAATTTGAGCTTTAATTCTTTGGCACTCTCTGTGGGGCAAATAACTGATCCACATTGTACCAAAAATGTCCTTAGGGGTCCTAAGTGGTTGTAGGATGTAGGGATGTAGGGATGCAGCTCTCAGGGCCCCAAAACTGCACTGGACCAAACATAGAGACTGAAAGATCAACACTGCTCTTATCAGTGTCTCCGTATTTGATTTAAACTGAGAATAAGAAAAGGCAGAAACAGCATCAGTGATTACCAAACACATCTCACACCCACAGTGCAGATCCTGCAGCCGCTCCCCGTTTATCTCTGTTAATAATGCATATATCAGTCAATAAGTATTTATTAGTCTGTGCTAATTAGAGCATAGATTTATTTGTGTAAGCACAATATATATTAATATATTGACATAATAGGATCTGCCTAAAACTAGATTTTAACTCAGGGCCCCTTCCCAAGACAAGCCCCTGAGATATGGCAATACTGTCTTAAGGCCCCTGTTGTTTCATATTGTTGTGCTTCTGTGGTGCATACAGTCTGAACAAATTAGGACATTTATAATGAATGGAATGAATACAGATTCATCATCACACAGTTAACCTTGAGCCTTCAGGCATCTGAGCACTCTCTTTATCCAGCCTGGCAAATCCATAATGTAGTAAAAAAGTACAAAGAGAAGGACGTCAAGTTGTTATCCTGACAGCTGCTTTATCTATAGTGAACACCAGGTGGCGCTGCTGCACCACCGAAACAACCCTGCAGTCAACAACAAAACACGGGATTGTCACTACAGCCACGGGGGTGTTGCCCATGAGTTTAAATTAAAGTTAAACGGCTTTAAACTTCTGACCTGTGTCAGTGATAACTCCTGTTCTTATAATAATTATTATAATTTTATTAAGTTAATGGTCAGTGAATTCATGTGAATCCATTGGTTGTTGTTTGAAAGCTGAACATTAACAATAACTTGTCTTTACTGTTAACGCTGCTTCTTCTATCCAGTGACATGTCGCGGAGGTACATTACATTAAACTTTAATGAAAGTGTTGAGCCCTGAAGTTTCCTCATTGGACAGAGCAGCTCGCTCAGCCGTACGTCCGACCACTTATGCAAATCCGCTCTACCCGAATATGGACACGGAGGAATGAAATATGGTGGAGGAGGCGAACATGGAGGACCGAGGACCGTGAGAGCGCTGCGGTGCTGTTTTTTGGGGGGTTGTAAGAAGAAAAGTGGATGTACCTCCAGCGGGACTTTTTTAGCGAAGAACCTCGGTGGAAACTTTCGTGTTTGCGTCTCTGTTCTTTGCGCCGACAAGTGCGTCGAGGTGGAGTTTGTTGTAATGCAGTGAAGACCGACTTTTTCGGGGGGATAAAAAGCAGGGCAGGGGGCTTCTGCCCTCTCACCATCCCGACGCTATGCCGTGGGTCAGCGGCGGTAAGCGGCGAGAGAGCTCTGAGCTGCCGCTGCCCGCGGGCTGGGAGGAAGCCCGGGATTACGACGGCAGAGTGTTCTTTATCGACCACAATACCCGGCAAACTTCATGGATTGACCCCAGAGATAGGTATGTTAAAGGCCCGGGAGCTCCGCGATTAAACACACACACACACACACACATACACACACACACACACACACACACACACAAAGTAATGTCGATTCAACAACAATCTACAATAACTTACAGGAGGGGATGCCTGACTGGAGGGAGGGGGCGACTACAAGAGAGGGCAGCTTAGTTTTGTTTTGGGGGGTCAGGGCTGTAAATTCCCCCCATTCCCCATAATGTAATACAAGGCTGCGGTGGATAATGTAGCCACCACCGATGAATCAGCTGAGATTTGGCAGCAGTCGAGGCCTCCCCACCTCTTGATGAAGTTCCCATGCAAACACGGGATGTATCGCCCATGGTTAGAAACCGTGCAGTTGCTCTAATTAATATTTTCCCAGTGTGTCTCTTTAAACGTAGAATATGAGCGTTTTTTGTTAGAATTGCGATGGATTTACTCAGCAGATCAGCCTTTCCGGTTTGTTATGTTTCAGAGGAGGTGGGTATCACCAAACGGCACATACAAACCCTGTCAGTCTGGTCCTCTGAGTTTACAGTAATCTGTGTCGTCTTCAGTAGATGTCTCAGACTTCAGTCATCCGGACTCATCGCTCAGATCTGTAGATTTATGACTTCCAGTGACCTGAAACATTCCTGGTTCACACACCTAACACAGAGACCTATTGTTATCCAGCTCCCCTTTCCTTTTCATACAAAGACACCTCCCCAAGACCAGCAGTGTGTCAAGTCCAGCTCTGAGGTCTGCTCTGTGATGAACCAGCTCATCTCAAAATGACCCTTAATGTGTGTGTTTCACTGGATTTGAGGAGAATGGAGCACGGTAAGAGCTTTAAACTCCAACTCCCAGAAATCTTTGTGAAAAAATGTGAGGAATGCTAGTTGGGCCACTGGGAAAGCTGCAAGGATATGCTTTTGTGGGGACTGGGATTTCACCAACCCAGAAACAGGCTCAATCAGGCATTCAGAGCAGACTTTGTGAGATTACTGAGAATCATTTAAACTCTGCTGCATTATGAGGAAAAGGCAGAAATCCACAGAAACAACACTCTGAGTATGACTGGAGTCACAAGTCCAGTTTGAGCTTCCGTCTCTGAGTAAATCTGTTTGCTTGTTGCTGCATACATCACATTTTACACCAGATTTCTTGCCGCTGATTTCGACAGTAGGAATGTAGTAGCTGCATGTAATCTAGATAAGAGAAACCTGATTTCCTTCAAGATCCCCTCCTCCCCGCACGTTGATTAACCATTGTTATTTGAAGCTGATAGCAGATTCACAAGATCTTTTACCGGTCAGCTTTGGGGGGGGGTCTCTCTGTGGTTTTATGTTTGCATGACTAAAGACTGTTTTCTGCATTTGTTCTGGTGCAGCTCAGTGATTTATAGGTTATCTCGGCCAGAGGAATGTCTGTCACCACCTGATACGGACTTTCCAATAAATCACATTACTAGAAGCTGACTTTCTGCTAACATGCAACAGATACAAAAAGTGTCAGCTATTCAGTAGTAGCAGTGTAACTTTTTCCACCAGCTGCATTTAAATGGTTTGTTTGGGTTCCACTCTGGCACGATGAGGATGGAGCAGGGAGATGAAGGCAGCGGTGACAAAAGTTTCATACTTCTCCCTGTCAGGGTTCCGTTCATTAAGTACAACAAAAATCAGAGACTGATAGGTTAAGGATTGTTGTACATGTTATTATAGGCTTTTGTCCTCATGAGTTACAGGCTTTAACTAAGTGTGACGTACTGCTCCACCAGAAGAAACAAAGTGGTTGTGATCAGATTCCTCAGATGTGCTGCGTGGAATCAGAAATATCTG